ACTTTTTGGCGGCTTTGTTTAGACTAATTTTATCTTTTCTAATTTCATCCAATACCTTAGTGTCTGCGGAGTATAGTTTATTTAGTCCCTTGAACCTAATTTAAGACCCTATGTTATCTTTATACTAATAATTCTCCTTTCCTATGATAATTATAAGCGTACGCCTATGTCAAAACTTATGATAATGAAAAACTGCTTAGTCAGCAGTTCTCCACTGGTAGTACCACTATTCCGCTTATTTAGGCCAGCGCAGTCCCTTTGTTTTCAGGCATTCCCTGTAGCAATTTGATCCACATATTTTCGTTTGTCACTATTGTATTTTAATTAATAAAATAAATGTTTTTTAAAAATACAAGTTTCTGAATCGAAAATATAATTTACACGCATTTTAGTGGCAAACGGCAAATATTTAGATAAGGTCGTTTCATCACACACTGGTCAAAGGATAACTGAAACGTGATTGAAACACGTATTTCATGTTGTTCAAGTTTACCCAACGTAAATACAAATATTGGGCAGATATTGTTATTTTTTTTTCTTTAATTGCCAAATGGACTCTTACTACTTTTGAGACAGCTAAAATGTGGCTAAGTAAATGTCCTACACCATTCGAAAAGTTTTACTAACATTCTGATTGCGTAAGCTGTTATACAATCAAAAATTTAGATGTAACTAAAAATGTGGATGAATGACGTCATCATTTTTTATTTGTTTACATTTATAATACAGCATAATATAAGTATATTTTTTGTAGTGTACCAGTTATATTATAAATATAATTCTCCTTTTCAATGTTAATTACAACCGTACGCCTCTGTAAAAGTTCACAATAAAATAAAGATGCTGAGTAAGCGGTACTGCACTGGAAAAGTACCATCATATCAAGGTTTCGCCTACATGATTGCACCGTCAGCGATATTTTATTAGATATAAATACGGCTCGCAGAGCTTCTCATTCATTCATTTGTATTGTAGCTTAGACTATATCAATTTGAATCGAGATTCTTCTGTTATCGGCTTTTCGCCGCAGCAAATAGAGTCTAGTATTTTTTGTTGTAACTGTTAAGTTTTTAATAAAATAAATAGTTTTTAAAAACAAGATTCACTGAACGAAAAATATAATTCATCTAAAGATTATTAGATTTTAAATGGAGAAACATTCGTTGTTCAATGTGAAAGCAATAATTTTGAGAAATATAGGGTAAATAAAAAATGGCAGCTGATTGGTCAAAGTTACACTCCTGTTCAAAGTAACCCCACTTCACGGAACTCTCTGGACATCTAGAATCTGTTCCAATATCACTTATATAGGTGCGTGGAGTCAAAGAAATACTCTCTGGACATTTGGAATCTGTTATAATTCTACTCATGAAGCTAATGAAACCTTCATGAAAAGACGAATGTAGGAGTTGCATGTCAAAAATCAAGTTTCTAGGACATTAACAGGACTTTTATGCAATGATTTCAAAAATCAACAGTACACTAAGGAATGACATTGTTCAGGATGTTTAGAGTGCGAAGAAGCTGTAGAACACATCTCGGACACTGGTTTCCATACTCTTTGGACATCTATAATCTGGTTCCAAGATCATTTATAGGTTCGTGGAGTTAAAGAAATACTCTCTGGACATCTAGACTCTGTTCTAATGTTTCTAGTTAGTGTATGAAGCTAATGAAACCTTCATGAAAAGACGAATGTTGGGTTATATGTCAAAAATCAAGTTTCTAGGGCATCAACAGGACTTTCATGCAATGATTTCAAAAAGCAGTGGATATTTTGAAGTACACTAAATTACATTGTTCAAGATGTTTAGAGTGCGAAGAAGCTGTAGAACGCATGTTAAACATCTCTGACACTAATTTCCATACTCTCTGAACATATAGAATATATTCCAAAATCACTTATAGGTGCGCGGAGTCACAGAAATACTCTCTGGACATCTGGAATCTGTTCTAATGTTATTCAAGTGCTAATGAAACCTTCATGAAAAGACGAATGTGGAGTTACGTGTCAAAAATCAAGTTTCTAGGGCATTAACAGGACTTTTATGCAATTATTTCAAAAATCCACAGTACACTAAGGATGTTTAGAATGCAAAGAAGCTGTAGAACGCATGTTAAACATCTCGGATACTAAATTCCATACTCTTTGGACATCTAGAATCTGTTCCAAGATCATTTATTATAAGTGCGTGGACTTAAAGAAATATTCTCTAGGCATCTGAAATCTGTTCTAATACTTCTAGTTAGTGCATGAAGCTAATGAAACCTTCATGAAAAGACAAATGTTGGGTTACATGTCAAAAATTAAGTTTCTAGGGCATTAACAGGACTTTTATGCAATTATTTCAAAAATCAACAGTACAGTAAGGAATGACAATGTTCAGGATATTTAGAGTGCAAAGAAACGCATGTTTAACATCTCGGACACTGATTTCCATACTCATTGGACATCTAGAATCTTTCCAAGATCACTTATAGGTGCGTGGAGTTAAAGAAATACTCTCTGGAATCTGGAATCTGTTCTAATACTTCTAGTTAGTGCATGAAGCTAATGAAACCTTCATAAAAAAACGAATGTTCGGTTACATGTCAGAAATCAAATTTCTAGGGCATTAACAGGACTTTCGTGAGTGATTTCAAAAAGCAGTGGATAGTTTGAAGTACCTACACTAAGGATGGACATTGTTCAAGATGTTTAGAGTGCAAAGAAGCTGTAGAACGCATGTTAAACATCTTGGACACTAACTTCCATACTCTCTGGACATCTAGAATATCTTCCAAGATCACTTTATAGGTGCGCGGAGTTTAGAAATACTCTCTGGACATCTGGAATCTATTCTAATACTTCTAGTAAGTGCATGAAGCTAATGAAACGTTCATGAAAAGCCGAATGTTGGGTTACATGTCAGAAATCAAGTTTCTAGGACATTAACAGGACTTTCATGTAATGATTTCAAAAAGCAGTGAATATTTTGAAGTACTTACACTAAGGTTTGACATTGTTCAAGATGTTTAGAGTTCGAAGAAGCTGTAGAACGCATGTTAAATATCTTGGACACTTACTTCCATACTCTCTGGACATTTAGAATCTGTACCAAGATCACGAGTCGAGTCAAAGAAATACTCTATGGACATCTGGAATCTGTTCTAATCGAGGTTCTAATGCTACTAGTTAATGCATGAAATTAATGAAATTTTCATAAAAAGACGAATGTAGGAGTTACATGTCAAAAATCAAGTTTCTAGGAAATTAACAAAACCTTCATGCAATTATTCCGAAAAAGCAGTGGATATTTTGAAATACACTAAGGAATGACATTGTTCAGGATGTTTAGAGTGCAAATAATGCATGTTAACCATCTTAGACACTAACTTCCATACTCTCTGGACATCTAGAATCTATTCCAAGATTACTTATAGGTGCGTGGAGTCAAAGAAATACTCTCTGGACATCTGGAATCTGTTCTAATGCTACTCATGATCGCTTGAAACTAACGAAACTTCCATGAAAAGACGAATGTGGAGTAACATGTCAAAAATCAAATTTTTAGGACATTAACAGGACTTTTATGCAATTATTTCAAAAAAGCAGTGGATATTTTTTAAGTACACTAAGGAATGATATTGTTCAGGATGTTTAGAGTGCAAAGAAGCTGTAGAATGCATGTTGAATATCTTGGACACTAACTTCCATACTCTCTGGACATCTAGAATATATTCCAAGATCACTTATATGAACGCGGAGTCAAAAAAATACTTTCTGGACATCTGGAATCTGTTCTAATGCTAGTTATGAGTCAACAAAATTTCAATTGCAATATGAGGTCGTATAGGAAAAAAGTGTTACTTCACGCGCTCGTTATTATTAAAGATCTACCTATTATGTCCAATGATTGAACTTTTATTTCGATTTCCGGTTTGTCACAGGTATAAGGAGGAAAATACAGCTTTATGAAACCTAATTAGGTGTTATTTTATTCAATTCTCTGGTGAATAAATAATAATTACTCTTGGTACAGGAATGCAATCTATAAATATGATTTTTTTTCTAAATAAATGCTAATATCAGTGTGATTTGCATTTATTACTACAAAAATTATAGTTTATCGTTAAGTTATTTCTAATCAAACAATATAGGTATAAACGCACAAGTTATACAACATTTACCTAATGGTAAGTAATAACTTTATTTTTTTCCTATATCTTCAAGTAGTCACGAAGTCACGTATTAAGCAGACCTTGTATTATTGTAATATAAGGGTTCGCCCTTACACAGTGCGTTTTCCTTGTTCCTGGTTGAGTTCTATACAAACCGAATCGATTTTTCTGACCTACATTTTGACGAATTTAATTCGAGATCCTGCGGGGTAGGTTTGGACGTCTTTTACTTAAACTTGATCGGGTCGTTCAGAACAAAATTGTCTCTGCTTGAGCAATTAAGTTACCCGCTTTATTTCTTTATTAAGTTATCATGTATATTTAAATCTGCCATAGACAAAACTTAAGCTTCGTTATTACAACTAAGGGAACTGCAATTGTAAGAGAATGTTATTGTAGTGAGGGCTTAAAAATGCTTAGGCATTGATGCTCAGTAAAAGTTTAAGTGAAACATAATGATTAATTTAAGCCAAAATCTTACAACGGATTAATTTAGAAATGCAAGTAATCGTACTTAGTAGTTATTCTCTGCACAAATCCTATACTTGGATTAATTAGTTTCTGGAAAAACCCAGCTGCAGATCTGAAACTCACAGAAAAAAAGCTTTGAAATTTGTTGATCTGTCCTATGAATTTTTCCCCGAAAGACTACATTTTGCATTTTCGCAATTTTAAACCCAAAAAATTATGAAAAATTGACTTTTCGGTCTTCTTTCTTCAAAATTAACATTCAATAAAACATTTCCAGGAACAGCTACCTACCTACACATTGTTTGACGATCTAATCAGATTCCTAAATAGCTATTTGATATTTTTTACTACAAAAAGTTCTGACTTACCTTCAAATGCAATTCAATCTATTACAGCAAAAAATCCTTTTTAGGTACAGAAATCACCACTTAATCATCAACCAACTAAACCACCTGAAAACCCATTCTGTTCTCTACCACATCAACTCCTGGACTCAACCTCAACGCAGGTTTCAGGATTTCCCTTGCCAGGTCGTCGCTGAAATTTCAGGCAAGCGCGAATCGCGCGTCCATTTTCGCGACGCTCGGCGTCCCGTTCAAGGCCTCGGAAAATTTCAGGCCGGGGATATCGAAACGAATTTCAAATCTGGAGCAAATTTTGTGGATCGGATTTTAATTTCAAGGGTCGTTAATTTTTAGATGCGCGGCATACTAAATTTAGTTATTTCCAGAAAAAAAAATAGTGTTTTCGGAATAAATATAAACGATGCAGTTGCGAAAGTAATTTTGGATTTGGGATACTTTATTCCTGGTATTTCCGCATAGTTGGTGTATTTTGGGCTTGGCACTATACCAGCAAAATTTTATTGCATTTTGGATGTTTCAAAATACATTTTTTATTTATATTAAAGGATTAGCAACTTTTTGGAGCTTCCATCAGAAGCTGAAAAAAGACTGGGTGCATTTGTGTCAAATTTAGGGCTACATAAAATGTACCTATACTTATTTAAAGATGAGTTAGATCTTATTTTGGATCAGTTTATTAGATTAAAATCAACACAGCTTTATAGATGCTTTCATCCATGGGTATATTAGCAGATGAATGATAAAAAAGACACCTCAAATAGCAAATAAAAGCTATAACTTATCTGTGCATATTGCCAGTTCATATCATAAAAGTTAGCTCTATTCTTAAATGATGGTTTATCAAATTTTCATGAAAAGTTACCATGAAAACTTTGGGATAAAAGTTATCTGGACGAATTGGCGGAATAAATTTATTTTCTATGGTTCTTGATACTATGGTGCAAGTATTGTAATACAACTCGATCGAAATAAATTTTATAAGCACAGATTGAAGAGCATCGATAGGTATTTGATATCATTGGGCCCGAAGCTATTTGATTGATTTTGAAAATTTTCTCAGCATAGCTAAGCAATCTCTTATCTGAACTTTCCCTATTACCTTTCTGAAATTTTTTTTAAATAGCTCTATAACTCTATACAGAAAATGGAGGCTTTCAAATTGACCATATACCTAACAAAAAATGATGGACTTTTTGAAACGGCATGGCAAGTTGTAGGGAATGAGAGTGGAAGAGGGCAAAAGATTTGAGAATAGAAGATGAAGAGTTTAGACATTAGGGTTTCTTCCACCCGACTTCAAGATATTCTCCTTTATTTGTGTCCATTCTCAAATGTTTCTAATCCTTCATCAAAAACACGTATTGAAGTTGAAATTCACGAAATTGCTGTAAAAGCTCGTATAAAGGCTTTGGAAGTTCAGGTGCTTTTCTTCGCTATGATCTTGTCGAGAAAATTTTGAGAAAATCAATGCAAGAAATTTGCCTCGCCGGAAACAAGTCTTTAAAAACCTAGTAGGTACTTTTTTTTTCTCAGGAACGAGATTATTGTCTCATAATATCCACAGATGCTCAATGCAAACTACACATACAACAATACAACATCATCATATATGGACATCGTGGAACAGCATAATCGAGTAAATATTACTTTTGGAGATCCTTCATTTATCTATTTGTTATTCCATTTAACTGAAGCAAAAGTGGAACTCCTACTCAATATCATTATTTGCCAACCCGATATGAGGAGTTTGAAAGTCAGTAGCAATGGAATCTTGGAAGAACTCCGGAGATGTCAAATTCATGCAAGAACAAAGTAAACAAATTACTCAATGAAGAAATAATAGAGAAAAACTTCTATATAGACAGCACAGTTAGGTATACATACCTACTTACCCAGACAGCATACAAAGTCAGACATAATTCAAAGAAATCGGTTCAAAGACAAAAGAGTTATAGTGAATCATGGAAATCGTAAGAATTGAGGGAAAAAAAGTTGGTTTTGGGACTTTTAGGGATCTCCTCCACAAAATGGCTATCTTGTGATTTCGAAATTTTGACTTTGTTTTTTGGCCCTATACCTACCTACAGGAAACTCTGAAAATTACTAGAATCGAAACTACAACCGGCCATAACTCCGTGACGGTAAGTCGTAGAGGAAAACTCTTAATGGGCAGATTGTAGAATACTCGTCAAAGCTTATCGAGTCTTACCTCTCCGACTTACCATTTCCGAGATATTTCACTTGGAAGTTTTAAAATCATCGACTCGGCTTTTCGGCCAAAAAATCAAAGTCAAAATTTCCCGGATTTTCTTTCACTACGTAATAGAGGAGGTCCAGAGAAATGTCGGAACCCCCTTAATATCCCGGTTTTCCAGGAGTTTCCGGCCCTTTTCTATACCTATCCCATAAAATGGAAATTTTCCGAATTCTGTGGGAAAACAAATTCCACTATATAGAGACGGTCAAAAAAAGCAGAAAAGCTATTTGGCATTTTCTCATAGGACGTCTTTTAAGCCCGGAAAAAAATAAAAAAGAAAATTAATAGGGATGAGGCTTTTCCAGCCTGACATGGTCTTATTAAATGGTCCATAACTCCGGTACGCCTGGATAGATTTCAATAAATCATGTTACATTCGATAAAGGATTAAATGGTCCACATAATAACTTTATACAGAATTTTCAGAATCATTCCGTTTCTAAGTTATGGGCCTTCAAAGTTAAACTTTTCTCAAAAATTAGCCTTAGCTTTGCTTCAGGGAGAGTTTCAACTTTCAGGCCAGGAAAACTCCTAGTGCCTTTTTGTCCGTTTATTATTGTTACTTACGCTTTTTTTTCAATTTTTTTTTATTATCTGCCCCCCCCCCCCCCCCCAATAATGCAGTAAATTGAGGCAGTGACATGTTTGATATGGGTATCAGTCAACTTTGTCTCTAAGCCTCTAAAATATTCTCTTAAAATTTCATATTCGTGCTTCAAGTAGTTTTTGAGTACATAATTAAAATAGGAAGGCTTGTCATAAATAAAGATTTCGTAGAAAATTTCAACTTTGAAGGCTCATAACGCAAAAACTGGACAACTATCGACAACTATTTTGTGTCTTAGTAGTCCTTTGGGACTCCCCAAACTCCATACACTAAATTATTCTGAGATTTGGTGCAGAAATCTATGAAAAAAGGCACTCAGAAAAATTTAAAAATTTGATAAATCACCTCAAATTGCTTAACACGATTTTATTTCTGGAACTATAGAAAATTTCAGCTTTCTATCTATAATAGAAAAAAAGTTGTGACCTTCCAAAGTTTTCCAAAATCTAAATTATAAGCTAGCTACCTCAGTAACCTCAGTACTAAAACGATGGAATTTCAAAAGTTTTTTTGTTAAGAATTTATGTCCTAATGGTCTTTTAGGATCCCTCTAGCTCCATACACTAATGTATTCTGAGATTTGGAGCGGGAATCTATGCAAAAAGGATTCAGAAAAATTGAAAAATTGATAAATCACCCCAAATTGCTTAACACGATTTTATTTCTTGAACTATAAGTTCAAATGAGCTGAAATTCTCAGGGATTATAGTCCTCTACTGGAATAAGAATCGCTGAAAATTTCAACTTTCTATCTATAATAGAAAAAAAAGTTATGACCTTTCAAAGTTTTCCAAAATCTAAATCATAAGGTAGCTACCTCAGTACTGAATCGATGAAATTTCATTTTTTTTTGTTGTTGAGAATTTGTCTCCTAATGGTCCTTTGGGATCCTCCTAACTCCATTCACTGAATTATTCTGAAATTTTGGAGCCGGAATCTATGAAAAACTCAAACAGCTCCAGGTTCTAATCTTAGAGTTCCAATGTTTGAAATATTTAGGATATTTGATCCTATCATCGAGGTTCTCCGATTAAGATGAATTTCTATTTTGGTGTTACTAAAATCTAGTGTCCTGTTGGATTGCATTCTATAATTTCCAACCTGTTGGATTGCATTCTATAATTTCCAACGGAAGCTTACACAGGAGTTATTGATGATATCTATATCATCTGCGGGTGTATAATCAAAGAAGCCACAATCTGACTCTTCGTAGATTATTTATGTGACAAAAAATCCAAATGTTTTAATCAATAACCAAAAATCAATCAATTTACTGGGATATATGATATAGAAAGCCAGGGTCCGGATGCCTCTTCTAGATTTACCAATTAATTCTACCAGATGTTGCTATTTTTAGGGATGTCCTCACAATGTAAGTTTCTAGGAAGAAAATATATCTGTATTTGACTTTGAATAAGTAAAATAGATTTAGATTTCGTAATTGTTTCTGCTCTGGGTGATAAAGTGATATTTTTCACGAATATTGTCAGATTCAGAAAATTCATTCAATAAAAGCAACTTCAGCAATCGCCCCATACAACTCGCAAGGAAATCATCAAGCAAAGTGTTATGTAATGATAAGAAAGAGACACGTCTGATGTCTGATTAACTGATTTAACAGCTCCTCTACACATATTAAAGTCTGAAAATTTAAAAACAAATTTATTATTTGAAGCAATAATCCAGAATTGGTCATGGTCTTATTTGCGTCTTGTTCAAAATAAGAAGCTGGAAAGATGTAAAACGTGTCTTTGCATGAAAAACATAGCTTAGGCAGATTTTGCTGTGGATCGCATAATTCGCATATATACGATACGGGAATAATTTATAAATTCAGTTCAAGCACGGACAAATTGGTAATTTAGGAAAATATATCACCATCCAAGATTCATCTTATTCAAAAATATCAATCAATGAATGATGGCTTCTGAGATGTTTATGAGATATTCATCAGGCGCCAAGCTAAAAAGGCAAACTTTTGGTAACAACTAACATCGCCCACTATATAATATCTACTACAATACGCATAATACATACATATACCTCTATAGATTTATTTTTCTATACAAATAACGCGGACACAATAGAGCCTTTGTTGTCCGAATAAGGCCGCAAATGGCTTAATCCTAATCGACTTGCACTCGAAACGGCCATGTCGAGTACAGGAGAACTTTTGAGACAGAACCGGGCCAAAGACTTCTAGAGAAAAAAGAAGAGGATTGTGTGCACGTATTAAATGAAGAAGGTAATGAGACACGTATTTCATGCAAAAAAA